ACACGTGCTGGAAATGACAAGCGCAACTGTCCAGTGAGGGCCGGGAGGCTGGGGAGTGGCCTCTCAGTCCAGACCCCTGGGTGAGGGGGAGCTGGGGAAACCCCTCTTCAATCTCACACACTCGGGGTCTCACATCTGGATTTCTGCTTCCCCCAGGCCCCAGCCATCCGCACCTTCCACGTGCATTCCCTGGAGACCCCTACGGTGACCCTGCCCACCTCAGCTGCCCAGCGCCCCCCTGCTTAGGTCACCCGTTTGGGACCCAGGGGGTGTTCCTCGCTTGCTGATGTGTCTGCTTTGGACTCAAAGCTCAGGCCCGTCCCGTGGTGACGGTGGTGAGAGCCCTGCATGCAGTGACCAGCCCGGACGGGGAGCCCCCCAGCCACGGGCCAGCTTGTGAGTCCACGTGATCGGTGCCTGAGGTGGACATTCAGGGAATGGCCTGGTTTGTGGGTCCTCGCCTGCAAGCTCTAAAGCATACAGGATAAGACCCAAAGCTGACACACAGAGCAATTAAAGATGTCAAAGGATTTAATTATATAGGAGCAAGGAAAGGGAAAGCTGAGAGGAGGTTTACTGAAGGGCATGCGCCTTGTCCTGTGGCAGCAGAGGGGAGACGGGACACCAGCAGAAGCCAAAAAAAAACCCCAAAAAACAGCAGACTGCCTGGCTGGGTCTTGTTAAGAGTCTGGGCCTCCAGGCCCAGGACCCTCTCTCTGTTCAGGGAGTCGGGGGAGGAGCCTGTGAGCGTCCCCCACTGGCTGGGAGGTTGCCTCACAGTTCCTCTTACACCCCTGTTTATTCAGGGCCTGTTTATTCAGGGCAGCCTGGGGCTGGGCTGTTAGAATCAGAGTGATTTTCTTCCTTCATGGTGGCAACTTTGCTACTAATGAGGGTGGCAAGAAGTCAGTTGATGAACATCTAAAGCTTCCTTCTAAAGCTTTAGATTACAAGGGAGCTGGTCAGTGTCAGCCATTCTTCTCAAGGGCTGGAACCACCTGTCCCAACACCGAGGCCCTTGGGTCTGTGCAAGTGTGCACACCTGGGAAGTCCAGGAAGTCCATACGTTTGATCATTCCAGTGACCACATTTATTTTTCACATCTAATTGGTCTTCATCCACATTCCTGGTTCATAGTTCCCCTTGGAATGTCTTGAGAAGGTGCAAGGTGTCTCTTGTTGCATTAATGAGATTAACTTTGGGACAACGCCTGAGGAGGGCTGGTTGCCATGGAAACCAATATGCCTTTCAACCCACTCCATGATTTCCTGAGGGGAGCGGGGCTATAGTTCAGTCACCAATGGCCAGTGAGTTAATCACCCCTGCTGACCTGATGCCTCCATAAAGACAGAAGAGGGAGATACCTCAGAGCTTCCAGGGTGGAGAACTAAGATCTGGGGGAACAGCATGCCTGGAGGGGACCCGGAAGCCCTGCCCTTACCCCCACACCACGCCTTGTGTTTCTCCTTATCTGGCTATTGAGCCTCATCCTTTAATATCTCTTGTAATAAATTGGAGATTAGTGAGAAAACAGGTTTCCTGAGTTCTATGAGCTGTTGCAGCAAATTGATTGAAACTGAGAAGGGGTTCCCGCGAAGCTGGGATAGATTGGCAGAAGCACACACTGTCTGAAGTCTGAGGAGGGTGTGGGAGACCCCCACTCTTTAGCCCCTTGGCGGGTCAGAAACTGCCTGGGGCTTGTGGCTAGGTGCCTCAGTCTTAGGAGGCTGATACCTGGACCTCTGGAACCTGCTGCTCTGTCCTGTGATGGGAATGGCGGGGGGGGGGCACCCTGCTTGAGGCCAGGGTGTGGGAGTCCCCACATCCCCACTGGAACTGGCCCAGCAGGTCGGGGGCACAGAGCTGCCCTAGCCTCCCAGGGCTGCCAGCTCAGAGCAGAGCTGGTCCTGCAAAGGCACCCAAAGCCCAGGCTGGCCAAAGGGGGTGCAGGGGTCAGCAGTGTCTGGAACTGAGAGCAGGACCCTGTGTCAGTTGGGCCTTGCGACCTGGAGGAGTCAGTGTTTTAACTCGGGGTTTCTGGATGCCTGTGAGCTGTGCACTGACAGTGCCTGGATGCTAATTTTTATGTTGTATATATTCTGCCACTATACACCATAGGCTTTTTTACAGTGAGAATCAATAAGCAAGTGAACTCAAAAGAAGAGAGGTTGCAGCCTGAGGGCAGCGAGTCCGCCTTCATTTTGGAGCTGGTGCGGTTTCAGGTAATTTGTCTAGGGTGAGGGGTGGGGGTGGGGCAAAATAACATTACTAGAGGGAAGGAGATGAAGGCGCCAAGCGCTTGCCCACATCCCTGGAAGCAGGAGGCGAGGCTAGGGGCAGTCCCTGCTCCGGAAGGGCAGCTCCAGCCTCGCTTGCGAGGGGAGAGAGGGACAGTCCTCCGCTGGCGATGTGCAGGCTTCAGAATAGGAAAGCGAGCAACCTCCCCTTCAAGGGATGCAAGGAAAGTGGGGTCCTAGTGTTATGGGGGAAAGGATGTGCTGAGCAAACTCCATACAGGCTTTGTGGACTCCACCCCCACCCCAGCAAGACACTGGGAACTACAGATCCCATGATCCCCAAAGGGAAGGTTGCGAGGACCTGAGGGCAGAGTTAGGCAACTAAGTTATCTGTTTGAGTATTTAACTGGCCATGTGGCCAGGGGTCGCTCTCTTGGCCACGCTTGTGTTCTCAGTTTTTCACCAGCTCTGCGGGTCATTGGGATTCCAGGTCAGCGGAACGGGCAGGAAGCTTTTATGAACTTATCTCCCTCTTTTTCTCCCTGAGTTACTCATTTCCCCATTTCTCCTTCCCTTGTAAAGAAACCTTTTAGCAACCTTTTGTGTGTGTCTGCAGTTGAGCTTTCACAAGCCCCCTTTAAACACGCAGTGAGGACCCACAGTCAGGCAACCCGTTTTATATCGGGGTTGCTCTGCAACACTAGGGCCTAGCAGTTCTGTCCCAGTGCCGAGGTGGTGTCGGGCAGGAGCAGGGCTTAGGGAGCCTCCCGCTTCCCGGTGGGATGCTCAGAGAATCCCAGCCGCCTCATGGGCGGAGGTGTCCGGGGCTGGAGCTCCTTTTCCTGGGCTCCCTCAATTTCCAATTTCACACACGCTGAGACAGAACCTGTGCCAGAGTCTGTTTCATGACTACAAATGAACACATTTCACAACAAGCCATCAAAACTGCCAACACAGGAAATCTTGGCAGAGAGGCCACCCATTTAAGATCAAATGTAATCCGGCCCTGGGAGGCCTGCCCTGGGGGCTGGGGGGTAACCGCACTACTCCTGCCTGTCCAGAAAATATTAGCCAAGTCACAGCAAGAAGAGCCCCAAAGTTAGGGTTTGTCCTTGCTGGCCGAACCCCTCTCTCCCCACACCACTTAAATCATCAAGGAGACAGCAGGTCCCTTCTCTCCTGCCAAACGCTGTTCTCAATGCCCCGTTTACTAGCAAACCCAGGCCGCACACGCCAATTCCTCCTCTTGAATAATTAACCCAGTGCATATGAATAATTAAGGCTCAGTTGAGACCTATAGCTGAGAAATCCTACAGTTACTTGACTTTTCCATGCAGGGTGATGGAAGGGTGGATGGAAGGCAGGGAAGACAACCATCCAGCACGGGGGTCTCACGGAGGCGGAGGCGGCACCTCTCTACCTGGGGGCTGCACTCCAGCCTCCCCACACAATTTCACTTCCCCCGCCAGGGTGCCCGGCTGCTGGCTCCTGGCCCTCCCTCGCTGCAAAAGCGTCTAAGTTCTAAAGCAATCACTCTTGGGGCAAATACAAACCTACTAAGGCTTTAATAAGAAGGCAAGCATTCAGAGTACCGGGGAAGAAGAGAGGTCCTACTATGTGCCAGCACTGAGCAAGAGTCGCTGTTTTCACTCCGCCTGAGCAGTTTTGGGAGGAGGCTAGGAAACTGAAGTGTGCCCTCCCCACTCCTTCCCTGCCCTTCCACCCATCCCTCCCAGACCTCCCTCCATAGTGCAGCTTCACGGCTACCCCCTCAGGAGACCCCACAGGCCCCCAGGTCAGGAGGGTTTGTGGCCTGCTCCTGCTGGACCACAGGGACAGTGTCCTTGCACATTGTGGCCAGAAACCATGCCCGTGGCCACAGCCTCGGCTGCTTCTCATTCTCCTGACCCCAGTGCTCATCACTTGCTTGATGTGATTGATCAAATGCAGGCACGAACTGGGATTTAAACCCGCATCTGCCTGACCCCAGGCCCAGGCCCTCTTGAGCTTAGCAGCTTGCGGCAGGAGGAAAGCAGGGGACAAGGCGGAAGGGCTTCTGGGTGCACGATCACAGCCCATGCTGGCTTTGCCTAAACTCAAATCTCAGTGTCCTTCTGCAGACTGGCCAAAACTGCAGGCTGGACTTGGCAATGGGAGACAGTATTTTCCTGACAGGTTCACCCCACAGCCAGGTCTAATCATGAGGGAAATCAGATTTTCAGTCTGAAGGCAAAGCCTGGCATCTCGCAGCCTGGCTGAGACCACTGTGGGCCAGACCCAACCCTGGGTTATGGAGGCAGCTTCTGGGTTGAATTCTGACACACACACCCCACCCCCACTGGGCAACCACCCCAGGCCTGGTAGGGTCACCATAGGTTCTAATAGCTTAAAAGAGAATTTTGGAGACTTTGGCATCATTATCTTCACAGGTTTCAAGGCCAGCAGGGAGACTGCAACTTGCGCTCCCTCCCCCAGGGTGACGCCGCCTTTTTAATCCCCTCCCTCCAGGCTCAGGTGTGCACACTTGCACATGCGCACACACCCAGGCTCAGGTGCCCCACGCCCACGCGCCTTCTGCATCAACACAATCCAGGCCTCAGGTGGTGGCCACAGAGGCTAGGGGCATAAAAAGTCTGATTAATTTATTTACCCTACACCCCCTGCCCACAGGTTGAGCCCTGAAATCCAACCATCAGGGTCTCCTCCCTTTAGTTTGGGATTTGGGAATCACAGTTTCAATCCCCAGGGAAGGAGTGACTCCTGGTCGGGGTATTGTAAATAAGCAGCGCGGCAGCGGCTGTCGCCCACGCACGGAAGCACAGATGTGCGCCTGGGGTGAGAAGCGGCACAGGGATGCTCACCTGGGAGACTGCAGCGCCCACGACATCGGGAGTCTGCTTGTGCGTCCGAATAGTGATGAGCAAAAGCTGGTACATTCAAAATCAGCGACCCTCACCCTTTTCCTCCATCCCTCCTATTTCTCTCTGTCCTGTTCAGTGAGCAGATTTTTCAGGTACATCAGAATTATCCACGAAAACGTAAGAAAGCCCCACTGTAGTGACAGGAAGGCACAGGGTAGGATCTTTATGATCCAGTCAGAAGGGTAAAGGAGAGTCCCAGAGCCCTGGGTGGCTTTTTCAGGCTTTTACTGAGCTTTTTACAAGGCGGTGGGTGGGGGTGGGGTGTGTGTGTGTGCGCGCGCGCACGCGTGTGTGCGTGTGCGTGTGTGTGTGTGTGTGTGTGTGTGGAGGCTGGCAGGCCTCCCAACCCTGATGAATCTTCATTCTTTCTGGGCTCTCTGGAGTTCTCTCGTGTCTCTGCTTCTCTGCTGGTTCTGTTCTCGTTCTCTCGTTCTGCTCCTCTTTCTCTTGGTTCTGCTGGCATCCCATGCCGCTGCCCTTAAAAGCCCAGTCTCAGCCCAGATGTGCCCACCTAAGCATGCCCACACCCTACTCCAGGTGCCTGCCATCAGGCATGCATGTAGGACCGCAGGGACCCATCACTAATGCTAATAGCAGGAGGGGAGAAAATCCTGATTCTTTTTCACTTAGCCTACACCTACTCAACCCAATGATCCAGCCAGCTCAGGCTGCAGATGGGAGGGCAGTGTCTGCGCCTGCCTCCCAAACCAGACATCACTCCTGTGACCCCCCCCCCTTTTATTTTCTGGCTTCCTTCTGAAACCAGTTGCAGATATGCAAACTGCAATCATCCTAGTCCTTCTCCATGTATTTAAACTATAACTGTGTTTATGATTACGAAAGGTTGCTGTAGCTTTAAGGGAACAGATATAAATTGTTTTAGGTCCAACTCTATTATGAATTGCCCCAAAAGGAGATGTGGCAGAATGTTACAGAACAAATGGGCTTTCTGCCTGACACCATGAACCCGGCAATGATGCTGGTGTTTTGAGCAGAGAAAGCTTAATTGCTAATTGATCTGCTAGGAGATAAGTTGAACTCTACCTCCCCAATTAAGAAAGAAATGAGGTTTTATAGGTTTGGGAGGCAGGATTGAGAAGGAAGGAGTTACATTTTATTGATTGCAAAGTGGGTTTGGACAAGGAAATGTGGATTTAGCTGAAGTTCACATGCAAGGTAGCTGCCCAGGTTGGGGGGATGGAGGTATCGGGGTACAAAGGAGATCAATCATCCCATGCCCATCTGGGTTCTCCTAGGCTGGCAAAATAACTGAAGAAGCATCAAACAGATTGAAAAGATGAAAAAAGCCAAAAGTTAGTTAAGAGAGACCCAGCTTGACGGAGTAACTTGATGGCTTCAGACACCATCTGGAATAACTCCGCTAAGACAGAAGGACTTGAGGGAAGTGGGAGAGGTCAGTTGGGGTACCTGTGATATTTTCAGTGGTAATTAATCTAATTAATCCCTTTTTCCAATTTCCATATCCCCGGAGCGCGCTTTAAATCATTATTCGACTTTTCCCGCTCACAGACTTCAGAGCTTACTGATTTCTGGTCAGTTGTTTCTATTGTAAATAAATACGCGGTCAGCACTAAGGTGTCTGGGCATCTGCCTGAGGTTGTTGAACATGACTATGCCAGAGGAGACTGTTCCTCGTTACTATCAGGCAGACCTGAAGCAGCCTCTAGCTTGTGGCATTCCCCATCTCCTTACCCCACCCCCAAAACACACAGGAGCAAATAACAGAAATGCTAATACTCTGCCCAGAAGTCTAATACAATTAATTCTAAGAAATGACACGCCTCCCATCAGCCAGGCCCTGGAGTCATTCACACTTTTCAATTAGAAGCAAACTTATCAGGTTGGAGCAGATCACCTATTTCTGAAGTGCTTCAAGACACATTATTATTAACCACCAATCTAGATCATACAGACTCCAGAGGAATCCATTTAGGTATTGTCTTCAAAGTGTCTGTTGTCTTTGTTTGGTATTTGCAAAAATATTAGAAGGATACAGGAGAAAATAATCCATGTTTGGAGGGATGGGACGGGGACACAATAGGACCGACACTTTCTATGGAAAAACCTTTTAAATCATTTTGATTTTTGGGCCATGGGACTATTAACCAGCAGGGCCTGGTGGGGGTGATGCTCAGTGAAACAAGCAGAGAAAGACAAATACCAGATGATTTCACTCACAGGTGGAATATAGAGAAATAAAACAAAGAAACAGATAAAATCAAACCAAAATAAACTAAAAATATGGCTGCAAAATCGAGGCTACTAGAGGGAGAAGGAGAGGTGGAAAATCAATGAGGGAGGTTGGGAGGGCAAAGATCTAGGGTGAAAGACCGAGGGGGCCTTGGTGGTGGGGGTGAGCCTGAGGGGTGAGCCTGTTCCCCTAAATCGTATACTGTGTTGTAAATCAATGTTAACTGAAAAATTGCATTAACCTAAAAAAATCATCTAAGAAAAAGTAAATTTTCATCCTTATAGGCCCTTGCACTGTTGGGAGTTCCCTGCATGGGACACACAGAATTGCCACATGGTTTTCTCCATGTCCACAGCAGAGGAGAAAGTCAGATCCTCATAGCCAGAGAATTCACAGGTCAGCAGTGTGAGCACCAGATCTTTTAGGCTCTGTAACTGATGTGCTAATGTTTTCAGGCCTTGCAGACTCTGGAGGGCCTGCCCCTCCCGGGACAGCCAACCCTGGCCAGAATGAACTATTTTACTTTGATATGCAAACCAAACAATGGGGCCACCCCACTTGCCCTTTCTCTGTGGGGCTCTCATACTCAGGCCACAGTCCTGAGCCCCAATCAGCCAGGGCCAAGTACCCGGCACCCAGGCACGCCTCTGCACCCCGGAGCCCACTGAAGTTATTCCAAGTAGTTAATATTAACCCCACTCATCCTGCCTCGCCTGTTTGCTTTCTAGAAACTATGATAAAGGCTCTTGTCTCCAGGCTCCCAGCCCTCTGTTTCCCAATTGGCCTTGGGGCTGCCCTCAGTGGCCATAGTGGGCCTCCAGCCCCCAGATCCATGACTAGTCTCTTCAGTGACACTTGTCTCCTGATCATCAATGAGCTCAGTCATACCTGAAGCTCTCATCACCTGCACCTACACCCCAGTTCTTCTATGCAAAAATAAATAAATAAAATCTTTTTTAAAAAGTCACCCAAGGGCCTCCCTTGGTGGCGCAGGCGGTTGAGCGCAGTGCTGTGAAGCTGTCCACAGCCTCTGCAGCCCCAGTTCAATCCCGACCGGCTGGGAGATACCCACATGGCGCGGCAGACCTCTCCTGTCTCGCCTGCTGCTCCCCTCAGCAGCGTATTTCAGTCAATCTGCCTGTTCTGTTGCCCACTCTGTCTCTGGTAAATCCTCTCACCCCCTGCACTTCTGGCCTGTACCCCAGGTATTGTATGCATAAATAAATCTTTAAAAAAAATCACCCAAATAATATTAAAATCTACATTTTACAACACCATGAGGCTGAGTAGCGGTCTGGTCTGCAGCAGGTGCCATACACAGCCAGATGGGACTGGAATTTCAGTTGCAATAAAAATGCATGTAATTAAAGAGAATGTTAGCTCATGACTGGGGTCCCCCAAATTTTCACTCTCCAAGGGGTCTGACCATCTGTGCACATAAAGACAAAGGAGAGTCTTAGTATGAAAGGCCCTTTAATAGAATGATTGTGCAGAGAGAGAGAAAAGAAAGGATAATAATTTCCCAGTGAAACACCCAAGGTCACTCATCCCCTCGTGGGTAAGTGCCAGCAAGAAGGGGTTGGCCTGAAGTCATCCACTGAGGCCCAAGAGCCTGCGCCCCAAGTCTAAGGCAATTTCTGGTGGGGACCCATGGGGAAGGGACAGGAGGAGCCAGGCAAGTGTGGAAGGAAAAGAGCCAAATCAAAACACAAGTTGAGATAAAGGCTGTCTGTGGTGCACACAGTAGGGCACACAGGTTCACTGTAGATTCAGGCAGACGGACAGGAATTGTGGATCCTCAGGTGGATCCTTAGGCCTTTAATGCTGCATCAGGGACGCAGGCACAGGCAGTCCAGCAGGCAGGGAGGCAGCAGGCAGGGAGGCAGGGGGCTGGGGACAGGGAGCAACTGAACCTCACAGCCCCCACGATCTCTACGCTCTCCCCCTGGCTTCCCTTCACTCTCTCGTAATAATCTCTCACGCCAGGTGTCCATACTGATAGGTGTGCAAGCCCCGTGCCCTCCAGCTTCTCGGCCCTGTGGCCATAATCACAGGTGTGCAAGCCATGCTCATGCTCCCAAGAGACTTTTTGCAATAACACAACGTCACGAGTGGGTAATGACACCCAGGAGGAAAATAAAACTGCTGGTGGCGGCCAAAGTGGCCCACGCGCTTTGGAGGAGAAACAAAGCCTGAACTATTCCATTTTCCCACACTGCCCTCCCCCATGTCTCTTCCAAGCATCTCCTGCAGGTCTTCCAAATCCCTGGTGCAAGCCCAAAGCCGGAAGCAAGCGTGCCTTCTCCATGCATCTGCCTGGGCCCACCCACCTCCTGAGTTACAGAGCCTTGCCTGGCCACGCAGCTCCTCCCATAGCTAAGTGGGGCGGGAACCCCCCAGCTCCCCTAACAAGGATGCCCTTTTAACTGAGGACCAGGAAGTTTCTGTCTGCAGCTGGAGGAGTGGCCCAGGTTAGCACAGATGTGGCGGTTGCCAGCCCCGCTGCATGCGTCTCTACTGACGAGTGTTACATCGTGGGAAGTGTGTGTTTATTAATGCGCTCCCGGCCTGCTCAGGTACCCAGCAGTTTGTGCTTGTCTGCTGTCCCCCAGCTAGGCCAAGTGCCGCCAGCATGTCAATTCTGCCGGCATCCTCTGAGGCCTCCTGCACGCCCCTTCCAAGGAGCCTCCTACCAGAATTCCAGCACCTAGTTACCAACCCGAGAGGGGATGATTCCTCCTCTGCATAGCGTCTGCCAAGGGCTCCTTTCAAATAGGAAACATAGGTGGCTGAAATCATTTGATTTGCAAAAAAAAAAAAGATTATTTTTAATTTGTTTTAACGTACTTTGCAGGAGCTTAAATACCCTAACACACAGGGATCCCGGCAGCAGCCCTCAGACAACTGTCAGTAATAGAGTCTCTGGGCCACAGCTGCCAAGGGGTCTCCTGGTGACCAGAGGGGCATGAGGGACCTGCCACCAAGGAAATAAGGACAGTGTGAGGTTATTCTAGAACAGTCTCTAGAGAAATGTATGGGCACGAGTGTGAACTTCATGCAGGAACCTGAATCCTGGGGTTGATTCTCTGAACTGAGGGCTTAGAGGCTATAAATTCCTGACTCTTTTACTTGGTTGTTTCTGATTGGTGTTTTTTCCAACACCTCAAAATTAGGATATTTCACATAACAAGTTGGTTTCTAGCTTCTAAGGAAAAACCAGGAGATCTAGCATAGTGGCCCACATTATCAAGTGAAGCAACCAACTAAACTGAGCCATTCTCCTTACATAGTGCATGAGTGTGCCAGTATGCCACAGTTCCCACCACTCCATATTGTCTTCATAGAGTCAGACTGAGTGTTAGTAACCACTTGTCACCATACTTAAAGAAATGTTTATCTGTGCATATGGTTCTTTCAAATGTGGGAATATGAAGACTATCAGACTTTTCCAGAAAAAAAATGGAGGCCATAGATATATCCAAACATCTGTTCCCTACTTTACAGATTTCATTGTGCAACCAGTGGGGGCTTAGGGAGCCAACCTTGAGCTCTGTCCAAGTAAGCAGATGAGCTCAGGGAGCTGTGTCACAGTGACCTGACAGCTGGGAGAAGTGCCTCCTCGGGACAGGGATACAACAAAGAAAACCTACGGATGAACAACAGAGACTTGGAAAGTAATTAACTGAATGCGGTTGTAGATTCTAACCCTAACTGCTAGACCAGTGTCCCTATTCTTGTGCAAACTGAAGACAACTGGTCAACCCCCATCAGCCACCCGATTGCCTATCTGAAAGCAGGATGCATTGACCTGGACACAGCTGGAAGGCACAAGGGACTTGCAAACTCCACAAAGTCCCATTTGCTGTGCATCTGGGTCCCAGGAGAGGTTTCCTGGGCTGTCAAGGAGGAAAACAGAGAAGCAGCAGCCCCAAACAAAACCAGCTGCTCACTCCTTTTTCGGTTTGGATCCCTGCGGTGGGAACATGAGACACCTCCTAAATAGCAAGGAGACAAGCAGCCCCACAACAGTCTGAGGGGCAGGCACTAGGGAGCCTCGCTCTTACATGCAAACACCTTAAAGAGATAGAGTAATCGATTTTATTTCATTAAAATAGATTAAAAACAGACTATGTAAAAGAATTAGGATTCTCAATAATTTACTATTATTTACATTAGCAAAAGTTGGTCGTTAGTAGACACTGTGGAGGAGGCAGGCACACAGCACCCAGAGCCTCCCCACTGCAAAAGGGGTGGGGGCACCCAGGGCCTGCCTCTTGATGCCTGTGCATTAACAAGGCAGCCACATCCCGGGCGCTGGGGGCACAGGGCGGCCGGCTCTGCTGCCCACACCGCAGGGCTGAGGCTTCTCTCTCCAGGAGCGTCATTAACCCCCAGTGGCCGCTCCCAGAAGCTAATTCTCCTCCTTCACAATCACCCCCTTTGACTGACACAAAGCCCCGAGTTTCCGGAGAGAACATGAAAAACAGAAATAGAAGCCACACACCCTGGTTCCCAGGGACATCCTGGGTGACTTAATATCCCTGGCACTTGGTGACTCAGCAAAATCTCATGTGGAATGTTCTGTGTGCTTGTCGAGTGAGGGAGTGGGGGAGTGAGGGGGAGCCAGGCCACCCAGGCCGCTGTACCGGGAGGAAGGCGCCTCCCCAGGAAGCAGTAACAGCGGGGAAGAACCCAGGCCAGGCCCCGAGGCCCCCCGGCAGCAGCAAGATGGTCCCGCAGGCACTTGGTTGTGGGGAGTGAGTCCCGGGAATGAAGAAACAGGCTGGTGGTGTGCAAGGGAGAGGAGACCCCTCGGTCAGCTCCTGTGACCCGACTCCTGATGCTGGAGACTTGGGGGCCAGGCCTGACCACCGCCACCCCTGCTGCTCACCTGGCAGGACCCCCAGGCCTCGCAGTGCAGGCGGCTGGCTGGGGGCTAGGGGCGATCCACACGGGTCACAGCCGCCCCACTGGACCCGGGCCTGGGCTGTGGCGTGGTCATCGAAGCCAGCGCAGTGGACAGCGGCAGAGCCAGCAGCCACCGCCGCAGAGGCGGCCCGATGGAGTCTCAGTCCAAAATATCTGTCTCGAAGGGGACCAGGTGGTAGTAGGACAGGTTGGTGACGTAGGCCGCGGGGTCGTCTCCGTCCTCCAGCTCTGAGGCGAACTCGCCGCCGTTCTCAAACCTGCAATGGGAGCGGAGGGAGGTGAGGGTGGCTCAGGGGCCCCCAACCAGCGGGTGCCAGGGAGGGAAGGGCAGCGGGTCCCTTGGAGGGAGGAGCTCAGGGATCAACAGCAAAGGCCAGGAAAGCCTCTGCCTGCCCTCTTGGCAATGCCTGTCGGGAAGGACGGGAAGGGGCAGGACTACAAACTAACCGGGGACCCCAGACCCTGCCATGAATAAGGCCCCAGCTCTGGCTTGCACCGGGGCCTCTCTAGTGGTCACCAGCAGTGACGGCGGCGGACACGGTGGGCCTGTTCAGAGCAACACTCGACCCAGCAGCTGTTCTGTCACAGCCAGTAACAGTGGGGTTGGGGGCGTCCTCAGGGCAGGAGCCCACCCCACGCTGGGCCCCTCAGACCAACCCAGGCGCTCAGGTCAGGGGCTCACTCGCCCCTGAGGCCGTGCACGTGCACGCGTGACCAAGGAGTGCAGGGAGCAGCAGGGGCGCGGGGCCAGCACGGCCCATGGTGGGGTTTTAAGGGGGAGGACGGCCAAGAGAGAAGTTTTAAAAAGGCCCTACAAAGAAAGATGCGCGTGAAGGACATCCCCGGGGAGGGCCACACAGCTGCTGCCTCTACATTTTCCTTAGTCTAAGAGTCCAAAGGAGGGCAGGTTGTGTTGGGGGTTGGGGGGGCAGCAGGCAGGGAAGAGTGGGCAGGGTGTGGGGAGGTGGGCGGGGCAGGCATGAGGGTGGGGTGGGGGGCGGGGCCGGGGGGGCGGGGCTGGCAAGGCTGGCTTGGGCACAGGTTGTCACAGGAGAGGAGAGGGGCCTCCTGGTCCACCCCACACAGTGTGTCCCTGCCTCGATTCCCTACCCTGGAAGGTGGCACTAGCAAAACTCAGTTCTACCTGGGAAGCTTTGGCACGACTTGCCTGACCAAACTACACAGGACCCAGCATCCGACTTGGCTGTCCAGCTAGGAGCCGCCTGGGGGTGTGGAGAATTGGAACCCAGTATCAACATCCCCGGGGCAGATTCTCCCTGACTTCCAACAATCAGCTCTAGGGAGACACTTCCCTCGGGGTGCAGATGCATGTAAACAGCCAAGGAGGAGGGGACAGACAGGCCACAACAGTGAGGGTGAGTGTGGAGAGGTGAGTGTCCGTGCCCTGACCCAGCCCCCATAGCTGGACACTGCGCGGAAAGATCCAGCTGTGAGCGCGTGCAGCCCTCAGGGCACCTGTCCCAGAGCCAGTCTGAGGTCCGGGTCTGCCCAACACCTCTGTTCCCAACCCACAGGGACAGAGCAGGGGCTCACCTTGCTCTGCCATGAATTCCTAGGAACCTGCAGACACAATCCAGCCCCGGCCAACCAGAGCCAGGTGGCCCTGTGACTCACCCCCACCTGGGCAGGCACACTTGGGCCTGGGTACTGACTGGTACCCACCCTCCGCCGGGACAGGTGGGGACTGGGTCCAGGGCATGTGTCCCAGGCAGGCCCTGAGGCATCGACTATCCAGCCTTGGGACCAAACAGTCCCCCTGAGTGCCACCAAGGACAGCCACAGCCTGAACCCCTGAGTTACTCAAAGGTCAACTGTCCGTAACCTCCTGTCCCCAACATCACTGCACACAGGTTACAACAGACTGCTCCTGAGAGACGAGGCCCTGCTGCCCCAGGTCAGGCTCACAGGGACACTGGCAAGTCCCAGCATGGACTTTCCCCTGAGTGGGCTCCTAAGCTGCACAGAAGCTGAGACTGGAAGGTGTCTGGGGTGGGGGCAGTGGGGTGTTTGTCCCTGGTCCAGCCCACCAACTCAGCTGCACCCATGTGCCAAGACATCCCCGGGCCAGAGGCTAAGATCCTTTGCTCAGCCTTCCTGGGGTCACAGAAGTTCTCTCTTGCTTTCTTTCCCTGTTGGCCAGGCGTCCTGTCCTGGAGCAGGGGCCATGCATTCATGATGTCCCTGCAAAGCCCAGGCCAGCTGGGGGCCCGTTCCCACCCAGGTTTGCTCTTTTTCTCCGCAGTGAACTTATTCCCAGTTGAACTCATTCCCCTCAGCAGGCCCTCCTGGGTCACAGGAATGTTGCTCCCACCAGGTTTCTGAACCAGGGTCTCAGTGTCCTCTAGAAAATGTGAACACTTTAAATAAGCACCCAAATGTGGCCGGGACAGCTCGGCATTCTGGCCACAGGCCTACAGAGGTCCATGGGGTCGCCAAGCCCTGACCCCAACACCCTTCCAGCAAATGATATTCAAATCCGAGTACTTACAAGTGCTCCGTAGGGTCCACGCCTGGGTGCTGGTCTTTTCCATTTGGTAAACTGTGGTCGATGACGATGGTTTCTGTATTTGCTAAACAAAACCCATTGGACCTCATGATTTCTGAAAATGAAAGCAGTAAGATAAATGCTCAGGAGGGGTCAGGTTATACCAACTTCCTACATTCCCTTCTACCTATTGTCCCCGCTTCAGTGAACTCTGCACCCTACTCTGCACCCTGCAGGCCCCTTCTGGGGCCCTGCCGTGCAGATCAGGGGCCCGCACAACCTCCTCAAGAGTCACCTGCCCACACTGTGCCAGCTGGGCTCCCCTCTCCTGAGGGGACTCCCTGTTGGTCCGAGCTCCCTCCCCATCGGCTTTCCCCTGGGCTTACAGGTGAGGTGAACAGGCTACCGTGTGGCAGTCTGGCACCCTGAGGTTGTCCAAGCCTGTCATACTCTGCCCCAGGGCTTGCCTGGGTTCCCAGATCTTTCTAAGCTCTCTCCTGGTCTTACGCAGGAGGATCTAGCACCCTTGGGTGATGGGAAGTCAAATGAGATCAGTGTGCATTTCAACCAAATGGGGGATTTCACTTTTCTATTGTACATAATTCTGTATGTAAATTGATATTTTACCAACAAGCACAAATCTTGGTGATTTAGAAAAATCAAGAAAGAAGATGATTATGTACATTGAACTTGGTTGCACGGTGTCACTCTGGAGGGTGGTGGCCTGGGGTTCACCCAACAAGGGGTGCAGGGGTGATCTTGAGTCTCAGCTTCCCCAGCTGGGAAAATGTCCAGTCTGTCTGTCTTCGACGATCTTGAGGGTCCTACCATCGTCCAGATTCCATCATGTCACCGGCTCCACGTGCACAGGCATAGCCAGTGGGTTTTGATTCACGTCTAATACCTGCTGTAGATTTTATTTCTATTCCCGAGGGCTCTGTCTCTGTCACGTCCCTCCAGGAGGTGATCTCCAAGAAGAGACATGGAACTGCTGCCTATCCCGGCCCTCTCCTGTGAGGCTGGTTCACCCACAGCTGGCTGGGCTCTGTATTAAGGCCCTGGGGTGTCCTCTCAAATCAGACCCTTTCGTTACCTCATCTTAAAAAAAAAAAAAAAAACACTTAACATCTTTCACAATCCCCTGGTGCTCCCCCAGTCAAAGGCTTCTTGCCATTCCGGACCTAACGCCCATGAACACGCCGCTTGAAATAGCTTCCTCCTTCGCCACACTCACAGGAATATCCCTGGGCCCACAGGCTCCAGGCATGTGAGGTCTTGTTGTCTGGAGCTTGTTCTCTCCTTCTTGCATGTTACCATAATTTAGGTTATTTTATTCCCATGTATGGATTTGCTTTTCTCATGCGAAATCGTCGCTTCCTGTTTATGTTTCATCTTCCAAGGCATTTGGTTCTCAGTTCTTTGATTTTTTTTTTCCCATCTAAAGAGAATTAGCAAAACTACACAAAAAGGAAGAAAGAAAATGAGGTTTCCTCCTCACCTCCATGGGATTAAAATGACCGTCATTCAGATTTGCCAAGCAACGGCTAAAATTTCCACTTGACTTTGCGAAGAAGCGAGAGCCCATGTTGGACTCTGGCCATGTCAGCCTGTTACTCACAGGCCCCAGAACCCCAGTCAGCCCCATTGCCAGTGTCTCCCACGCCCACCCGGCCTCCCTGCGGGAGCCTACAAGTCTTTTTTTTTTTTTTTAAAGATTTTTATTTATTTATACAAGCACTGGGTATAGTCAGAAGCGCAGGAGGGTGAGAGAATTCACCAGAGCCAGAGCGGGGAGCAGAGCAGGCAGAAGGACCAAAGTACACTGCTGAGGGGAGCAGCGGGCGGCAGGAGAGGTCTGCGCACCATGCAGGACCCTCTTCCAGTGGCCGGGGAGCAGCCGGGGATCGAACCGTCGCTGCAGAGGCTGCGGGCAGCTTCGCAACCCAGCGCTCAACCGCTGCGCCACCAGGGAGGCCCAAGGGAGCCTACAAATCTTAAGAATAAACATCAAAGACCAACAAAAAGTTGGTGTTTGAACCTCCAGGGTCAAGTATATCCTAGGTCCTGAAGGTCAAGAAGTTAACCGAAGTCAGAATGAGCATTTGACTAACTCTTCACAAGGAAGATTCAGGTGCCCTCACCCCTCAATTTAAAATACATGGATGGGGACTCCCTTGTAGCACAAGGGGTGAAGTCGCAGCACTGTGAAGGTACCGCAGATACTGCAGCACGAGTTCGATCCCTAGCCAGGGAGCAATCCACATGGCGCAGCAGACCTCTCCTGTCTTGCCTGCTGCTCCCCTCAGCAGTGTATTTAAGTATTTAAGTAGATCTGCCTGTTCTGCTCCCCACTGTCTCTGGTGAATCCTCTCTATGCATAAATAAATAAATCTTTTTAAAAAAATAAAATAAAATGCATGGCCACAGAGAACCACTCTGGTCCTTGGCTTTTATTGACTCTGACTCAGATCTGTCGCTAGATGCACAAAAAGCTTCAAAGCAACTTCAGGGCAGCCTCCTGACAGCCCACCTCTTCTCCCACACCTCTCTGATCAGGGACCAGGGTAGGTGAGTCTGCTGGCAATGTAAAATGTAGATTTCCGTTTCTGGAAAAAGGAATCTTTGGCAGCCCCCCAGATGGATCTGTAATAGGTCATTCCCTAAGTGCCTGGCAAAGAGGCCGCTAAGCACGGAAATGTGATTTAATCCTTGGCAGGACCAGTGGGACCCTCAGGAACCCACATCTGCTCCTTAGGTCAGGGAGCAGGCCACCTGCGGCTCATCGGGAAAATAGAAATTACAATTTCTGTTTGAGCAAATGAGGTCTGTAAAGAGTCTGACAAATTCTGGGAGCTCAAAAGAGAGTTGTTTTACTACTACTGTGTGTCATGTGAATAAAAAAGAGCCTCAGTATCACATGTGACACCCATCTTCACACACACCTTAAGTGTAAGTTTCTTCAAAGTCAGTTTAGTCCCTGTCGCAAAAACCACTGGCCAATTTAACGGCCCAGTGACATACATGGCCGAGTCCACGGGAGACTCTGTGTTCAAGCTACCTTGTGGCCTGAGGGTCCTGCTTTGCCATTTTTTGTTTTGAGCAAATTGTAAAATGACAAGAGAGTCACCAAAATAACATAATCGTGTCACCATCCTCACCAGCTCCTCCTTCCGCCTCACAGCACCCCAGGGCGCTAGATAGCCAGACCCGGCCTGGAGGCAGGGAAGAACTCTGAAGACTGGGAGACCTTGCAAACCCCAGAGCAGTAAGCCAGGCTCCAGGACCCCGCCCCAGGCTGACAGACACAGGGCTCAGTCTACCCCACCTTCAGCCCATGGGGGGTAGACAGAAGTCCACCCTACCTTCAGCCCTGGTGGACAGAGGCCCCCCCCACGGGGGGTGGACAGCTGCCCTGGGTAGCAGCCTGGACCATGAGGGAAGGGGGTTTCTGCCGGTTTTCTGCACAGTCACTACCTTTGTAGCTGATCGACATTATCTCAGGGAAGATGCACTGAGACTGGAATTCTGCTTCCCCCTAAATGTGCACCCACTCACCTCAGCATTGAGGGGTGGTTCCTCCTGCAAAGATTCCCACGGGGGGGGGCCTCCCAAGGCCAAGGGATTAAATCTCAACACTATGAAGCTATCCTCAGCCACTGCAGCATGGGTTCGATTCCTGGCCAGGGAGCTACCCACATGGCGCAGCAGACCTCTCCTGTCTCGCCCGCTGCTCCCCTCAGCAGTGTATTTCAGTCAATCTGCCTGTTCTGCTCCCCACTCTGTCTCTGGTGAATCCTCTTAGCCCCCGCATCTCTGGCCTGCACCCCAGCTCTTGTATGTGTAAATAAATCTTTTTTTAAAAAAAAGATTCCCACTGGGGTGTCTGCCTAACGAGGTTGTTCTGTTTTGTCAGCTGCATGTGCTAGTAAGGCCCACATTCCTCCAGGTCAGAAGCTCAGATTCCCTTTTTCTGCAGACAGTGATTCTCAGCCCTACATGCACAACGTAGCCCTCCTGCTTTGGAATCCTCTCCCGCACACTTCCAGTGCCCAGCCTCAGGGAACAAAACCAGAATGAAGCCTTCTTATTAACTGGCCAGTTGGATTTACCCCATAAAATGGAAATTAGGCTGGAGATTGCACAGATGCCTAATTAATGAAAAACCATATTATAATCCAATTCCCCCAACCCTGAATGACCAGATCTTGTGGCTGAAATCCATTTGTCCAAGTAGCCAGGTCAACTACCTCTTAGGCTGCACAGACACAGCCAGGGTATGGGAATATTTTATTTTCTTAGACTTTTCAAGCACTTATATTAAGCTGGGGGGAGGGCTGTTTAAGGTTGCTTGGGCCCCAGCATCTGCAAAGAGGCCAGGCCATTTCCCCATGTCCTGGCCCCCAGCCCAGCAGGGTGGGGTGCGCATACCAACGGGCGCCTGGCGCCACCTGGTGGAGGCCCCAGCCACTAGAACTCCTCAGTCTGCAAGAGGCCATGATGGGGCCTGGAAGTGGCATGGAGGGGTCAGGCTGAGAGGGGAGCTGACCATGTGACCCCAGCAGGGTGAGGACCAGCTACTCCCGGAGCAAAGATGGGATGTTCCAGATGACAAAGCTTCCAAGGGGCAGCCCCGGACCTGGGCCTGGCCAGGCACAGCAGACACACCTCCCGGAGAGAATCTTTGCTCTGGATGGCTAGGACAGGCGTCCCCTGCCAGCCAGCTCATGCAGGGGTGCCTTCGTCCTGAGGCTTGAGGCTTTCAGACACAGACGTGTGACAGATGTTTACGAACCCACTGTCACCAGGGTCCTGCTGCAGCTGTGACACAATGTTCTGGGCTGCTGCTCTACCCACAGCCATGTCCCTGGGCTGAGTGTGACACCACTCCACCACCCCCAAATGATTGGGGTCCTAGCTTACACAGGGCCAAGATGCCGGCCTTTCAAGGTCTGGGCGCTGGGCCTTGGGCCACACATGCAAGGCCCTCATACATCCATGAGCTAGAACCTCGTCCTCGGTCCCCAAAGAACGGCACAGCAAGTCAGTCAGGCCTTGGGACTTTGCAGTTTCCCTGCACACATGGCTGTGCATTTACCCACGTCACAGAAAACACAGGGCAGGGGCAGGGAGTGTGACAGGCTGTGCTCAGGAGTTACTCAGTCAGAAGCATTGCTCTCAAAACAGAGACACTCAGGCCTGAGGAGCCCAGGCTTGCCAGGGTCCAGGTGGCAGCAGGCAAAGCCCAGCAGGAGCAACAGTGGGAGGACCGAGTCCTCTCCCAGCCCCAGAGACTCGGGCTCATGGACAGCCAACAGGGGCAGGGTCTCTGATTTTCACTCTTCTTCATAGAGGGTTCTGGTGCCAGGCGCCAGCGCAGAGGGCATTCAGAACCTCCTCGCTCTCCTTTCCAGAACACACAGGAAGCTATCTTGGGTGGGAATCGCCAGTGGGTGGCCTGAGGCCCAGTCTGCTCACCTTTTCCACTCCAGGTTCCAGAACGTGCCCCTCTGCCAGCATGCAATTAGGAATCTCCCCCAGGACATGCTCACACCAGTCACATCAGTCGCCACCCTGTTTGTCAATCCTCTGCCTCCACGTCACTGTGGCTACGTTTCTTCCTAGGAGGTGGCTGTGGGCTCAGGCGCCGTCCCTGCTGGCCTCCTTCTGAGTCCCCTCCACCTTCTCCACCGCACTCCTCCGCGCCCCTCGGGCCCCCTCGCCACTCAGAAAAGCAACACGGAGAGAATCCCTGCTTCCCTCCCCTTACAACCAAGATGTCCTGCAAACTCTCATCTGCGTTATCTCCTCTTGAAACAGCCTTCCTGACATCCCCCCAACACCCTGCCTCCCCCCCACACACCTGTTGGGCCTGACCAGAAAGCCCCTGAGGCCCAGACCCAGACAAGGTGGCTTCTGGTCTCCCGGGAATCCCGTGCTCCCGAGACGGAGCTCTGCTCCTCAGCAGCCATGCCCAGGGCAGCACCGCAGCCAGCACACAGCGGCCCAGACCCTGGAAGCAGGGGCATCAGGGGCCCCTTCCTTTCCCTCTGGCCACAGTGAGCCCGGGCCTCGCTTCTCAGCACACCTTGCGGCTGGAATCTGCCTGTTCATGTGAGGAGAGGGCTCCAAGGTCAAAGCCAACGGGGCCTAACTAGGTGCCCCCCTCGCCCTGGCCACCCTAAAGCCAGGCACCCCCTGAGGGTGAGGCCTCTCATTCAGCAGGCGAGGCTGCAGATTCGGGGGCTGCTTCCAAATGCCTCCTCTCTTAAGCGAGGTCCAGCGTTTGCGCCAAATAACTCATTGGTGAAGCAGGAAGAGTGGAAATTGCAGGTGGGCACGTGATAACCGGGGGTTGCCTGCACCCACTAATGTCGCCGCTCTGCTGGGTGTCTTTCTGAGACTGAGGGCAGGAGGTGTGTCCAGTCACTTGGTCAAGGAGCCACAGTGTTTCTGGAACCCACGGCATCCACAAGGGCGCCCCCCACCCCCAACCCCTGCCACACAGATGCTCTTACCTGAGATTTTGACAGGACTCTGGAAGCTGGGTTGGATTTTATGGACATTATCATTTCTTAACACCTGGTCCAGGGGAGACCTTTCGAAGAAGGTGAGCACAACCTCCGACCTGGAATACTGGGAAGGAAGCTTCATCACAAAGGGGACCCTTCCCGCCAGGTGGCCCCCGGCCCCACTCAGCTCTGGGGGGGCCTTTGTCACTTTCACCAACCTGTCCCACACAGATTCTGAAGAAGGCAAGAGCTATTTCAAGCGAAGACAGTTTACTGGGGGTCACACAGCAGGGGAGAGCCAGCTGCTGCCCTGAGCCTCACTCCTGGGTGAGAGGGGCAGGAGGTCCTGTTTTATGGGGTTGATCACCAGGGCGGAGAGCGAGGCTGGGGACCACCTGGCCTTGGAAGTTGTCCAGCGGGGTCTCAGGACCTTTACACACCCACAGGTGCTTTCCCTGGGCTCACGCCTGCTCCCCCGCCATCATGGAACACATCCCACTGACCCCACTTCCAGCAGGGACCACATTCTGGGGTCCAGGCCTGCAGACGTGGCCCCTGCTGTTCCTGAACTACTCCTTCTTAGTCCTGAGAGTTAGGGTGTCCACTGAGCTCAAGCCCAGGTCCTCACTCCCCCAACACAAAATGCAAACTTCACACAAAATGCACACCCCAGGTGGGGGTGCCCACACCCCTGGGCCCCCACAGCCCTGCTCTAAATGCCCATCAGCAAGACCCTAGACTTCTGAGCGGAGGCAAGAAAGCAAGACCACTCAGCACCGCTCAGAGCCTCCCTGACCCCCACTTCTACTTCTCAGAGGGAGGAGGACAGAGGACAGAGGCACCCCCTCCCCAGGGTGGGGGGCCCAGGAGGCATCGGCACATACCTTGCAGGGCAGGCTGATGATGGTCTTCAGCAGCTTCTCCACCTCGTTGAGCCTGACCTCGATGTCGCGGGCGTCCTTTATGTCCACCAGCCCTGGAGTCAGACAGAAAGGCCTGCGTCAGGAACACAGCCCGGGAAGGGCCCCTGGTGTGGACAAGGATCAGTCCCACGGGGAGGCCAGACCCCATCCCGAAAGCCCAGCTCTAAACTTCATTCACCTTTCAGGGGCTCAAGGGACCATGTGCCTGCATGCAGGGGCGACACTGGAGTGTCCCCCCAAGAAGCAGCCGATGCCACACACAGACCATCAAAGACCCAGGGGCCAGCCAGGGGCTCCCTAGACACCCACACGGGGCGAGCTCTGCCGAGACCACCCACCAGATGTGACAGAGCTGACACCAACGGCCCCGACCACAGGGCCCCAACACAGCCCCCCCAGTTCAGACCAGTTACTTAAATGCTGGGTTTGGGAGGGAAAAGCCGATTTTTAACCAAAGTGGGTGTGACTCCTTGCACTGTCCCAGAAGCTGAGTGTGTGTCAGATATAGTTACCAGAAGTCTCAAGGGCTGTTTAAAAATGCAGTGGTTTTACTTTTTAAATACGACAGTTTGCACAGAGACTCGGGGTGTGTTTCTGTCTCCCCGGGAGCAGAACACAAGTCTTCCCGATCCAGTTTCTACACGCCGGCTTCTCGGGGATGGGGATGTGAGACCCACCGACAGAGGGTTGCTCCCACCCCTCCCGTGACCCCGATGACTCCATGTGCTCCAACCAAACCCCAGAGACCACCAATCCCCCGCAGCTGAAGGGAGTCCCAAGCTACTCCCAGTCACCCCATCTAAGTCACCCCGACATTCTGGTTCCCTTTGTTCTACCGGAGAAGGTGTTGGTTGTTGACAGCTCGCCACCGAGTCTACATAAACAATGCAAGTCATTTCCTAAACTACATGATTAAAATTAATCATGTCCTGTCCCCAGGACAGGTGGCCCAGAGAAACCAGGGGTGCCCCCTCCCCAACATAGGCGAGCACAGGCCCCAAGCCTGGGCTGCAGGGGGTACCTGCACCATGGCAGCTGGAGCCAAGGCGAGAGGGCATCCCCACTTCTAGAGCCCAGGCCAGAAGTCCCCGGCCTCTGTCTACACAGCCAGTACTCACGCCCCAGAGAAGAGGAGGGGGCTGCCATCTCCCCTTTTCCTCGGGCTGCCTGGCCCTCACCACAGCGCTCTGCGTGTTGGGGAAGCGAGGAGTAGGAAAGTAAACAAGGGGCCAGATCCCCAGCATGCCTCCTCCCCAGCCCTAAATTCCTTGCTTAGAATTTCAAATAAGTACAGACACACACACAGACACACACACACACCACACAAAGACAGATACAGATACACAGACGTACACACACAAACCACAGACACAGAGACACACAGACACATACACGCAGAGACACAGAGACAGACACACACACACACCGCCTTTTGTACCAAAACATTTTGATTTCTTACTTGTTAGGGTTCAGTCCACAGAGAAAAGGAAAACCAACTCAAAATCTCCCAAATCACTGTTTTTAAAGATGGGACAATTCTATAAATCATTCCCACAAGTGCTTCAAATCTTGATGGCAAATGAAGATATTATAATAAATATATTTCAACTCTGACTCCAGTTAGAACATCAGTTTTAAAACTGGCCGCTGTGGTGACACATGTGTCTGTTCTGTAGGTACAAGTGGTAGGAAAATTAGCCTCTCGTGTTGTTGGTGCCTACATGACACCATTACACTAATACCCATTTTATAGGATGTAAAGTCAAATGTAACAATTTAAAATGAGCATAGAAGTTTATCCTTCTCAGATCTTTACAGTAGCAGCGTATTTGTGGTCACATCTTTGACTTAGTGACTGGTCAGCTCTGGCTGACCTTCCAACCTCCCCAGTAACATCCAGTCGGATAAATGCCCTCTGCTCTATCTGATCTAGGCGAGGCGTAGCCAATAAAACACAGGACAGCTGGTTACATTTGAATTCCAGATCAACAATGAACAATGCAACAGAAGGACAGACAGACTAGAAAGTTGTTCTTTGTTGATCTGAAATGCAGACTTAACTTGGGGTCGTGTATTTATCTAGCAACTTTACCTTCTTTCTGGTTTGTCTTCCAGAAAAACTTGGCCAGGCCTCGGGAAGCCGCACCTCCCCTCAGTGCACACACTGGCACAGTGTGACCCTGCCCCTTCCCCCACAGGCCCAGCCACCCAGACACAACCCCCGAGCCAGGTGCCCCTGCAGGAAAACCCCACTTGCCCTCAAAGCTGCGGCATCTGCTCGGGAAGCCTTCAACACACAGGCAATGGGGTTGGGGGTGTGCCTGCAGGCTCCAGAGGACTCCATCCCGACCCCCGCAGACTCCCCATGCTGCACCTGCCAACCCTCACTCAGGGGTCTCCCCAGGTCTGATGCACTTGAGGGCAGGGGTGCAGGGTGCAGTTCAGCCCACTGTCACCAGCAGTAGGCGCAGCTCGCTGGCAGAGCCAAGGCGGGACGGGAGCACAGTGGTGGGTGTTCCCCACTCCCCAGGCTATGGCTCAGCTCCCGCTGCCCACGACTGTGTGGACCTGGCCAGCCAGCCAGGCCCAGGCCTCAGCTCTCAGGAGAGGGCTGCCTCCTGCAAAGTCAGGCCCCCTAAACTGTCACACTCTCCTGGCTTAAGGTTATTTGAGGAAGAATGAGGACTGTTGCTTCCTTCTTCCATTTCTGTGTTCCAGAAAGAGAAGCGCCATCAGGGCTGCCGGGTGCCAGTCACCCTGGGATGGAGCCATCCACCGGGTTGCCAGGAGCACGCAGGCTCTCCAGGAGGGGCTGTAAAAGGCCAGGTTGGAAGTGATGGCTTCAGTTGAACCCTGGCACCCGCCTAACAGCAGGAGGATGGGGCTGGCTGGGAGCTCAGCCGCCCGCCCAGAGGCCCCAACTCCCAAATCAGGGCCCCAAACCACAGCCAAGTGGCCTCCACAGCCCGACCCCCTTGAAACACCAGCCCTCAGTTTCCCTCTCCTGGCCCTGGACAGCACCATCACACCAAAGGTATGCAAAATGGAAGGAAAACATTAGAAATACCTCCCCCCAAATTGTCCACCTTAGGGGTTCCTGCCTTTAGGTTTCTCGCCCTCACTGAGGATGGGGGCCTGAAATAGCTGCTGGCAACACCCCACATTAATTTGACGCTGAAGGGTGAGCCGAACCCGCCAGCGTCCATGTCACATGCTGACCGATTGGCTGTCGTGTTCCTCTGGCCTGTCATGGTCGGTGGAACTTTCCCAGGCTCCAGCTGTTTACAGTGAGGAGTGATTTTAAACTATTTTCCCCAAAACTTTGCTCCAATGCAGTAATTTAGGATTAGCTAAAGCTTAGTCTCTATATTCCAAACACTGTTGACAGAATGAGACTTCTGTGGGTATCTTCTTGGCTTGTTTTGGCTCTGTGAGGTCGTCGTGATAAAAAGTGCAGGTGGGTTGGGCCTCCCCTGGTGGCGCAGCGGTTGAGCACTGGGCTGCGAAGCTGCCTGCAGCCTCTGCGGCGCCGGTTCGATCCCTGGCCGCGGGCGAGGGTCCCACATGGCGCAACAGACCTCTCCTGCCGCGTCCACTGCTCCCCTCAGCAGTGTATTTCGTCACTCTGCCTGTTCTGTTCCCCACTCTGGCTCTGGTGAATTCTCTCACCCTCCTGTGCTTCTGACTGTACCCAGTGCTTGTATAAATAAATAAATAAATAAAGTTTAAAAAAAAAAAACATGTTGTTAAAAAAAATTTAAAAAAAAAAAAAAAAAAAAAGTGCAGGTGGGTTAAGTGCATTTGCCCAAGTTGAGCAGAAAAACCTGCAACAGGTACCCCTTTGTAATGAGGCTGTCGTTCCTGGCCTTGCCAACAGGGGGCGCGAGCACCCTGCGACGCGGCCTGGTTCATCTCCGCCTGGGGTGGAGTGAGAGGGGGGCGCATTTAAGTTCTATCAGAAGCTGACTGACTTCGCTTGCCCCCTGGAAACGGTCCTAATTTCTGACATAGTCACTAACGTAACCTCAGTTTTTAAAATTTCACACTCTACAATTTGTGAGGATTTTTTATCCAGATTCAACCCAAACAGTTAAGACTTAGAAACCAAAAGAGTGACAATCCCCTAGGATATAAATTTCAGTGTGCCAATCTTACTTAGTTTTGGGGGCTGCCTAGAGCACCGGGGTGCCCTCTCTTTTAAATCTAGAGTAGCCTGCAAAACTGAGAACACAAAAGGTATTTCTGTTGGTTTCAGGATTCGTTTCTTTATCCAAATGTGAACACCTGATTTATTCTTGGAACCCAAAGTGGACATTCCAGTATCAGTGCAAAGATCATCAGTGATGCAACATCAACAAGCCTGTTTCCTAATCTGGGGAATGTGGGTCCAAAGTCCCACTTTTTTAGTGAATGGAGGCTCCAGGCTAAGCCCCTTTGGTGTCTGTCCCCAGGCTGAGCCCCTCTGGCGCCTGTCCCCAGGCTGAGCCCCTCTGGTGCCCAACCCCAGCTTCCTCACAGAAAGACCGAGAGGTCTGATCTAACTCAAGGTCTGATCCACTGGTACCCAGTTTTATAAATCAGAAGAGGGGTGGGTGAGAAGGAAGGCTGTTCCTTTGGAAGCGCAAAGGAGAATCTTTTCCCAATGAACACCCGTCTCTGGCCCAGTAGAACCCTCACGAAACTTTCTGTGAAGTGAACTTACAAATTACAACATGGGGCCTCCCTGGTGGCCCTGGGGTTAAGCATCGCCCCTGTGGCCTGCATTCTAAGTCACACATCAGCAAAGGGCCATGAAGATGCCTCCTCTCACAGTGGACAGGCAGGCCCGTGTCCGCTGCAGCACCTGCGGCTACGTCCACCTCTGAACTCCATAGAAGGCGGGTGGGGCCAGGCTGGAGGCACCAGTTTGGAAAGTGACAATCCAGCAAGTGGGAAGTGGGTGTGTCTGCCTGCGGCTGTGAGGCCGGCTGAGAGCAGGCCCCTTGCCTGCACCCGTCCCTCCCACCAAGGACAGGCACTCTGGGGGCTTGTCAGGCCTTGTCAGTAACCAAAG